CCCTCACCCCATCCCCTCAGGAGAAAAAGGAAAAAATGGAAATTACAATTTTCCTGTTCAAGATAGTCCCTTTTTAAATAATACTGCGTAAAATTCTCTCGTGGTTCATTTGTATCCATTTTTCCACTTTGTAATACAGAAGACACAATGTTCTATTGAAAGTAACTCCCTCCTCAATCTTGTATCGAATTTGAACTATGCGGTGAAAGGACTTTATTTTTAAAGAAACGGAAGGAAGTACTTACAATCGGAAGCGGAACTATTTGTAACAGAGGTAAAGTTTCGCTTTTTTAACTTCGTCTTCTCTGAAGATCGCAATACTTTAGTATGCATGTCTCAGAGTGCCTACGGCACACGAACAGATCAATTGGCCACACTTACGTGTAGCTGAAAGAAATTTCAAACGAGCCTGTGTAATTCCGCCTTGTCCACTCATCTGTCTATTGAAGTATTATAAATGGTTGCTGAAAACATTTCCACAGTTTTAGCTCTAAATCTACGGCTAAGATCCGAGTCGCGGGTAAGAATAAGAACATGCAAGAGGCTCGTCATTGTTGGCCAGGCATTGTTAATTTTAGTCAAATTTGATTTACTTTGAGGCAAGATGGGCATGTCATAATCTTTTACTAGATATCTACTTGGAAATCCTAAGACAACGGACAGAAATAACATTAGCAGAGTAAAAATGTGAGACACTTCAGTGCCACCTTACTATCACCCTTGAGTATCTGTTACTATAAGACCCAAAACTAGTCTGAAAGGGAGACTAACAGACTGATAACAGAGAAACCCAATGTAATGGGGGCCTTAAGACTTGAGTTAGCCACTCATGGATATTCATATAGTGTATCTGTGTTGGATTTTAGCTATCTCACGCTTGACTTAAATTTCAATGTAAAACTCGCCATACCCTTTCTGTTAATTTTGCTTTCAGCGTTTAAAGTTGTCTCTGCGCTATACTTTGACCTTGATCAGTGTTGACAGCCTTATTGTAATAATGAGACCGGATGCACATTCCTTTAAGCAAAACTCACACTTTCTGAAGCAGTAAAAGAAGTAAGGCGGACACTGAATAAAAGTTAAAACTCAATTAATGAGCAATGATTATCAAACCCGACAGGCTGTTTTGCTTTTTTTTTTCGTGATTTGTGTGTGTGTGTGTGTGTGTGTAGATGCGGTCATGGTGCATGTAAAGGCCTATGGTAAAAAGAGTAAAAAAAGAAATGGGGAGAAGACGGAGGCAGTGAGAGAGAGAGAGAGAGAGAGAG